AACAAGGTTAGAGACAAGAGGGTTGGGATGGTTATGAAGTTTATTATGGAAGGACAGATATCTGGATTGGGCCAAATCTGATACATAAGGAACATTAAGGTCATTATGGATAATTTTATTTGTAACAAAGTAAGGAGCATTGAGGATTTTACGAAGGATTTTGGATTGCAAGGAATGCAATAGATGGGTCGTTATTGACTGATAGGATACATGTGTCATCAGCATATGTGGTGATGACAGTGTTGGGATGGGTTGGAATGTCAGCTGTATAAACTGTGTAAAGGATAGGACCTAGGATACTACCTTGAGGAACACCTGCAGACTGGGAAAAACGGGATGTATATACATTGTTGTGATTTACTTTAAAGTACCTATCAGTAAGGTAGGAACGGATAATGAGGAAGTAGGTAGATGGTAGGAATTTTCGGAGTTTGTACAGCAGTCCCGGGTGCCAAACTCTATCAAACGCCTGTTCAACATAGAGAAAGGCTCCCGTACAGTACATACCGCGCTCCAATGCAGAGGATACTACGTCTACCACACGATGGCATTGCTGTATAGTGGAATGGGAGGAGCGGAATCCAAATTGGTGATCTAGGATTATGTGATTAGAATCTAGGATTGGGTACAAGCGTTTTAAGATTAGTTTTTCCATGATTTTTCCCATGATGGGTAACAGAGAGATGGGACGGTAAGAGGATGGATATTCTGGTGGCTTTTTGGGTTTGTGGATCATTTTGACAATAGATATTTTCCAAGGATCAGGGAAATATGTTGATCGGAGTACAGCATTATATATGAAAGTAAGGAATAGGATGGCTTTTCGAGGAAGAAGTTTCAAGATCTGGGAGTGATAAGATTTAAAATATAATTGTGTATAAATTATTCGGGTATAGCTTAGTTTCCTCTGACTGATCGTCACTCTAAAAATGAAACCATAGGTTGATGATAACTAAAGTATGCAATGAATACTTTTAATTTATATTTTACTTGCTAAATATCTAACAAAACCTCCATCTATCGCTGTTCCATATTTTGTTGTCTTCTTTTGGATCATTCGTCACATCCAAATCTAATGTTGAATTTAATATATCAACTAAAGGCTCATAATTGATAATCAGATATTTTAGTCCTAAATATTTGTTTCTTTAGGAGCTATCTTTTTCTCTCTAACACAGCGTCGCTACCAGATACAGTTTTCAATAATAGCTCAATACAAAAAAACAATGAAATACTAAACATTTCTTTCACTTACAGTATGCTGGTCCGATTTTCAGTTGTCATTTTAATTCAAATGCCAACATTACTCGACTCGAGCCGAATTTTCCCGAATAAGCGTTACATAGCCGAGCGTGGCAGCACAAAATGAAGTGCAAAGGGCGCCTAAAGAAGTCTTGTCTTAAAAAAAAAGGGTAGTAGCAGATTCCCGTCACTGAGATTATATTTTCTTCTTATTTTTTCAAGAAATAAATAAAATAAAAAATGGAGAAATAAAAGATTTCAAATCATTACCTAATTGTTTATTATTTATATGAGATTATTTAAATAATAAACAATAATATTCTATGTTAATTGCATTTAACAAATTTAAAATACAATTTTGAATAATAGCTCATTACAGAGAGGATGAAATGATGAACATTTCCCTCGCTAACACTAAGCAAGTCCGATGTTTAGTTTTTGAGATATTTCAATCCATATGCAAAAACACTTCAATTATTCGATTCTAGCCGATTTTATCCTAGCGTTACACATCGGATATCTGACGGCTCAATCTAATTCACTTACAACAAAAAAAGTGCAAAACGCGCCTAATGATGTTTTCACTCCAAAAATAAATAAAAAATAATTTCCTGCTGTTCTGTGAAATGTCGAACCATGGTTTATGTGAAATTTTTTGAAGCTATTTAAAATTGATATCACCCCTTTAAATATTTTCGTTATGACGAATCGTATTTATTATTCAATAGATAAATTACTCTATGGTGCAAACACATTTTTAGTAATTGTTATGTAATATTATATATATATATATATAAACAACGCGAGGTGGACCATAATGAAGATACCGGAGGGAACACTCCTATTTAGTATCAGGAGTATAGGAGTTTACATTTCAGTCCAGCCCCTTGGCTAACTATCATTATTCCTATAAATTTGAGTCTGAAATCTTTTTTTTTTTTTGTATTAGAAGTGTAGGATGTGACTGGAACACAACACATATGTAATTAAATAAACAGTTGTATAATTAGTAAAATGGAAGTTGGTCAGCCATTAGGTGGACAGGTAGTACTGCCCTGGCTTACAAAATAAAAACAAGAAAGAAAACGAATATCTCTATTGTATAAGTAACCAGAAGTATTCTTTAATACATATAGCAGCAATTAAAATTAATCAAAAGCAATCATCTTATGAGAATGATCTGTTATAATAAAAATGGCGATACTTGTAACACAAACAAGAATATTGTATGTTAAATATTATTCAACATAAAAGTCAAATCTTGTATTCCCCAGTGTTTTCAAACTGATAAGGTATACAGAGGTGAATGGTGATAAAAACAGCAATGGAAAAGAGTAAAAGTGCAGTCTATTTTTCAGTTGCTGTCAGTTTAGTATTTCTGCTTCCTTTCACCAACAGATGTCGTCCATCCCTGTTGTGACAGGTGATAAAATCCTGTGTCCGGTTTTATCAAGAAAAACTGTTTAAATTTCCATCTGACGGATACGAGCGTCTGTGGCTCTAGTGCCCTCTTTCAGTCTCCATTGGCTTCTAATACCAGTGATGCGGCTGGAAAAGTGGCACTGGAATCTCCTGGAGTCTTGCTTTGCCTTCCACATGTGGGGGAAAAAGCCTGGCTCGGAGATTCTTGGGCGAATGTATATATTGTATATAGGTATGATTGTGTTTATAAGTTTCTTTTTATGTTATTGTTTATTTTTTTTTTCTTTTATTTTCTTTCTTCATCAGTATTATTTATTTACTTTTTATATTTATATTTATTTCTCTATTATTTGTATATATTGTTTGAATGAGAACTCTTAGCCCTAATACTTATAGCCCTCCAGTGGCTGATTGTATTATTATTCAATAAATAGATAAAAAAAAAAAAAAAAAATCTGACGGATTAGGTTATCATATTTTTTGAAAAAAATGTTTTATAGTGCTGCTTTATAGTGATATGTAAATAAATTGTTGTTTCAGCCAACATTTTTTTTTTTAAATAGGTTGTACATATGGGACGGTTATATTGATTTATTGTTAATTTTTTTTTGTCACTCCATGTCCAATTAATGTTATTTATTTATTTTTTAATAAGGCATTTTTTATGTTGGTAATTCAATATTAATAATAATACAATAATCTATAATAATATTCTAGGAACTAGTTCTCTTTCGTTAATCCAAGATGGTGGCCGGTCATGAGATCACTTAGTGCACGCTACTCGTAGAATTTGTCTGAAAGAAGACGGAGGTTACCGATTCTTAGTTCTTGATTGTAATTTTTGTAAAATTTTAAGAGGGAAATTTTTACTCAATTGTAGTAGTTGATAATAATTTTTAGTACAATAAATCATCTTAAATATAATTTGTGGTATTTTTTTTTTTTTTAATTCGATTCTTCAACTCACACCTGTCAGAAGTTCCGACAATCAGCGAGTGTGATGTCAAGATGTAGAAGATTGTTCTTGGAATAGGCGTGAGGAAGAGGAGTACCCAGCGGCGTCCTTCCTGTCTTGAATGTAATATTTATAGTTAGTGGAGGAGATCCCTCATCCAGCTTCTTTTAAGCCTACTTCGGGTGCTATCGGGCATGTTAGTTGTTGCCATGCCTCGAATCAATGAATTGGTATGTCCGTGTAAGATATTATGAAATCTTTTGTAGTATGTTCGTATGTGGTCGTTAACTGTTGGCATCTGTAAGTCTTTATGTAGAGTAATGTTACTGACGTACCAGGGGAGCCTTGGTGATATTCCTAAAAGTTTTAGATTGAAAAGTCTGTATTTTACGTATGTGAGTCTTTTTGGCTATCCCATATATCTGTGAAGCGTAGGTCCAAATAGGCTAAAGTAGGTGGGTATACGTATTCAATTTCTGTCTAAGTTTTAATTTCGAATTTCTTGCAAGGAGTGAGTACAATAGTCATAATCTTAGGTTTAGAGTTTTTGTTTTATTTTTGATTTGTGAGCCCCATGTCATTCTCCTATCAAAGTTCAGTCCAAGATATTGAACATAGTCTGTCTGAGGAATTTGGATATTGTCTAGGTAAATAGCTGGACAAGTTTCACGTCGAAGGGTAAAAGTGATTGTTCTTGATTGAGTCGAATTTTCCAGAGTTTGCACCAGTCGTAGAATTTGATTAGGTGATAATTTGTAGTATTTAGATTTAAAATCTGATTATTAAGAACGAATAACAATGATTAAGTTACTATGGCTTTTCTTATCGATTTTCTGTGAATAATATTATTTTATCATGTGTATATTTTCTTCTCAGATCCATATTTCTACGTATCATTCAGGGAGAAGAGAATTTTAATTTAATTATGATAGTTATGATAATTATGATTTTAACTGTTTCCTGCACATACGTTATGTTATTATTATGCATATATTATCAGAATCTGGCCGTGGGATTTGGAATTTTCAATTCGATTATGTATTTTAACAATTTTATTGTATGAAAATGAGCTATACCAACTTATTTTTTAGCAGGAAATGTTTTTCTTAATATGTATTTTATTATTTTACATATTGGAAAGACGATAATTTCGCCGGATTATTGCAATAAGTTACTAGGAGTATTTTTGGAGATTACAAAAAATATGAGTATGACAAGTTGCTTTTCCTATTCTATCGTGCACTTTCGAGTTCTGGAAACTCATATTAAAGCGCACGTGTCAGATTCAGTTCCCGGATCAGATACTTGCAGAAAGTAGAAGGAAAGATCAGGCGACAGGATTCACGATAATCGTTTGAGTTCAAACTGGCAGAAACCATACTGGGGAAACATAAGCCGCATAGATGGAATAAGACCGTGAAGAGCGTACGTATGGATGACTGTGTTCTAGGAATTTCCAGTAAGGACCACTTGAGAAGTGCTTTCTAGAACCGAGAATCAGATTAGAGTAGGATTCGAGAGCTACTGCAGAGTATGCCATTTGGCCCATACTTTACAATAAGGCTTCACAATGTTAAAGCGATAGAAGAAGAATTGTGAAATGAATGAATGACGTATTTTAGAGTTTTTTAGTTATTAAAAATATTGATTCAAACATTTTTTTTTTTAATTTCGTAAATTAAAAACTCGTTTTAATTGGTCTGAAAATGCCTATAATCTTTTTATTTTTGATTTTTTTTTGTTTGTTTCGTATGAGCGATATATTCTAAATATTAACCTTTAAAATAAATCGGTAGAATCACATGATCCATATAATAGATTGTATGGCTTTTAGTTATTTAAAACTTTAATAATGATAGTTCTTGAATTCTTAGGAATTTTCATTATACCTAAATTAGTAAGCAACGTGGCATGACTCAAGTTTGATTAATTTTAAGTATCTAAATATGTAATATATAAAAAGGGAAAATATTGAGATCGTGAACATTTTGAATCTGAGTTCAACTGAAAAAAATGTTTTTTTCTTGTAATTTTGTTTAGAAACATTAATTGCTTAATTGTTTGATTGATGCTTACCGCAAGAAATCGAATAGAATTCCAAAATCAACTGTTTATGCGGTATGAAATGCTTTCTTATCTCATGTTTTAGAACATTTAATAAGTTAGTTCAACTTTTAATTTATTGACATTTAGGGAGTAGGAAAAAATGTCGAGACTTCAAAAAGTACTGTTAGAGAAGCTTAATTGCAATTATTTAACTTGATTTGGAGAGGTTGTAGAGTGCGTAAAACCAGTAAAAAAAAAAAAAAAATCGAAAAAATCGCTTGGACGTATCGAAATTATGACTAAACTTACGCAAACTTTTATGGTATCTTCCTCACTAGGAAACAACCCAAGATACCGAATTTCAGACCATTTATCCAAAGAGATGGGTAAGATGGAACTATTTTAAATTAGTATTATTTTCTGAGATGAAATTTTAAAAAAAAATAATGAAATTTTCAATTTCGTAATGTATAAGTACAAAAACTAGAATTAGAAGTACAACTCTCCCCTCCTGTGACCTAGATGACGTCCTTGCTCAATGTATAGCCAATAAACAATCTCTTTCATCGAAAAGTAGACAAAAACCCTTAACAGGACGTATTTTAACTTTTTTTGTTGTTTTCAGTTCTGTTAGTCCGTGGTACAGACCCATTTTTGTCAAATCATTACCATTAGTCTAAAACTGTCAATAGCTTCATCTCATTGTAACCTACAAATGTTTTTATTAACGAAAATTTTCAAAATTAGGGAGTTTTCAATCAGCAGATTAGCGAACTGTGTCTATTTAATTAGGTACTAACAACTCGTGAACACCGATTTGCTTTCTACTTCATAATCGTAAGATAATTGTGGGCGGGGTGGCCGAATGGGCTAATGTCTGGAGTTTATTGTTAAAAAACTGATCCAAGTGTTTTTTTGATGTCCTCTCCCTTTTGGAATTTCTTTCTATTCATGGAGTTCTGCAGAGACCATAAGTGGTATGGCATAAGTGGTAGTCACTTGGAGCTAGGTCTGGTGAATAGGGAGGGTGGAGCAAAAGGTCCCATCTACGGATCAATAATTTATTGCGAGTGACCAATGATGTGTGGGCCCTAGAGTTCTTGTGCTGGAACACACTATTTCGTTTATAATCTTCGGGATATTCTCCAAACTCGATTTTATTCTATTCGTTGGAAAGCTCAATTATTGATATTCAAAGCCGTATGAATATATTTTTTTAAATTTTATGTAAAGAAATAAATAAACAAAAATTCCTTATGTTTTTTTTTATCTCTATTTTTGGTTTGCGAAAGTCCCATTGATGTCATTTTTTGTAGTTTATGTGGCCCTAAATTCCTTCGAATTTTCTTGTAGATAGCTAAAGTCGTATTGAAGTTATAACATTTTTTGTTATTTTCGTGATTGAAAAAATCATGTGAAGGATCCAAACATTGAGCCTGGAAACATAGCCGAGCTTGTGCAAATGGTTTTCTACGCTTGTGCGAGACACATTTAGGCCCATAGCATTCTCTCGCATTGACTGGGTGGGATTTTGATCAACAATGGCTTTAACATTGCTAGTTTCAATTTCATGTGGCCGAACAGACCGTTGAGCATCATTGATGTCAAAATTTTCTTAATGAAATTTGGCAAACCAATTTTTACAGGTGCTTTCGGCTAAGGCACCATCCAATTAAAAACTGTAATTTTTTTCTATCAGCTCCTGCAGCACAAACAAAATATGCCGATAATGAATGATATTTTCTTCCATATTCACAGTGCAATAGCAAACACAATACTAAGCTAGTTTCAACAAGAGTTAACAGACATAGTTGTTGACATATAACAAACAGGATAGATGAGAAGTGTATCATAGTGACATAAAAATAAACAGAAAAACCGAAAGGACTTATTTGCCAACCCGATAGTTACGCGATCAAATTCCAGTGCCTGGTGGGACTTTTAACTGGGCTTAATTCCCCCGCTCTCTCCCGATAAGGTAAAGCCCTTCACGAAGTTTAAGGCGGATGTTAATAATTTGATAAAAAGGAGTATGTATCACGGACTAGTGATCTTAAAATGTAGACGAACTGGTTTATTTCAGTGTTGATAACATAAATATGGAATCTATGAACTTATGTTCATGTATTATTTTACTTGTGCAACAGTTCTACTAATAGATACGGCAATTTTTCGATAATCTATCTTTATATAACATAGATTGGAAGGAGCTGGAATCATCATAAAAGATAAGGGAACGGAGGCGTCTAACTACCGTTTGCATATTCATGAGAGCGATATTGTTAACCTTAGCAATCAGGAATTTGTTTGCTGCTTCAATTAGCAATATTATTATAAATAATCTATTACTTATAGGAGTTATTTTTTATCACAACAAATAAATTCGATTACCGAAAACAATAATAAGGATCTAACCAATTAAAGCAGCTTACCTGTATTAACTTTTTTAAAATATCATAAAATTATCAAAAAGTGAACAAGAAACAGGCAGACGAAAGAATGAACTGGCCTTAAAAAAACAGAAACAAGAAACCGGGACCGCTAATAGGGAACTATTTGTATTATGTTGGGTACATTATATAAGACATTCTGCCATATTGACATTATACTGAAAGAGAAAAGGGAATAGAAAAGAAAAAAAGAGAAGAGGATATATGAAGAGAAATTTTCTTGTTTCTATATTACTATCTATAATTGTTTTGATATTGAAGGATTTGTTGTACTAAAAGCCATAAGATGATGTTAATAGTATCAACCGATGTGCAGTAAAAAATGAACTGTGGTTGAATGTTGAAAAAACTAAGGCCATTATCATCGGTCCCAGATGCCTCCTAAATTCCCTCTCTTGCTATCCCTTACCTCTACCTTAATAATCGACCCATTCATTTTTATTCGGCTCTAAAAACACCGGACTTACCTACGATCAGTTCTTTCCCTGGAACAACCAGATTACACAATAAAGTCCATAACTGCCCTTTAACAATTCCTAAGATTCCGTGAGTCGATTCCTCAAATTACCCGACGATTCCCAGTACCTCTTGCCTTCCCCTACTTATACCAGGAATCTCCAAACTACGGCTAGCGGGCCGAACCTGGTCCGCAAAAACTTTCAATCCGGCCTTCGAAAGATTCTTTCATTACATGATAAAAGTTTTAAGAACTATTTAAAAATATGAAATTTAGCAAGAAGTGTCATTTATAGAACATGATTTTTTTTTCGTCACAAGCCATGGCCAGCGGGACTTTGGATGGAGGTCTGAATGCAGCCCGCGGAACTTAATCGAGATCTCAATATAGCCCACGGTACAAAAAGTTTGGAGATTTCTGGCTTAGACAATAGGTTTTGATGTATGGAGGACTATCTGATGGACTAAAATTGTGACTGAAAAGGCTAATAAGGTTTTAAGCAGCTATACCTAAATTAACTTTTTTAAAATATCAGAACATTCTTAAAAGTGAACAAGAAACAAGCTAACGAATGAATAAACTGTGCCTTCTGGAACAGCCATATTTCCCAGATCATACGAAATTCCAAAACTGTCCTTGAACGATTCCTAAGAATCCGTGAGTCGATTTCCCACAATACTCGACGAATCCTTGTGACTCACCTTGTGACTTACTTTTCCCCACTTAACGATAGTTATTTGATGTATAGAGGAATTTCTACTAGATTAGAAATGAGACTGAAAAGACTTATGAACTGGTTCACGAAATTCATCTTCTTGTTTTCCAAGCACTCTCTTGTTCCCTGTTATTACACCTAGTTGAAGTACCTTCCTACTATCCAGCAATATATCTTCAAGTTGTTTTCAGATTTTCAGAAAGAAAAAAAAAAACTCTACTTCCTAGAATTATTCACTCAACGTTCCATTATCCACTCTCTAAACACAAGAACTTAAACTATTTACTTTATTTTTCATTAAGTCTGTTTGACCTTTGTTCTTTTTATAGTAGTCCATTTAACTACTAAATTACTATTTATTATATTCCCTTTTCAGAAAATCCTTTGTCATTTTTGCTATATACTTCTGGAGTACTACTCCAACTCTATTCGCTGTATTCATCTGGTGTCCCTTTAAACAATTTATCCTCCAGCTACTTCATGTACAATTAGTATACTCCAGTACTCCAGTGAGAACTTTCACATTAGATAGCTGTCCCTCTTCCTGATGCATTCGACATAAAGTAAACGATATCAGTGAAATACGTTTATTCGTATATAATACCACACATAGAGAACCTGCGACCTCGAGGCTGAATGAGCTAAAAAATCATGAGCTAGCTGCAGCCTCGAAAGCCGTATGCGGTGCGCGTATGTTTTCATTTGATTTTTACTAATCTACCGCTACAATTAATTAATATTTAATTATTTATATTACGAAAATTTGAAAAATAAAAGAATTAAGTTAAATATAGGATGTCCCGTAACTAGAGGGAAATTTTTATAGGAGTGGTTGAAGCTGCCTTCAACAGCTATAAAAAAGTTTATATAAACAATGGGCC